GTGCCGCATCCTAACCACTAGACCACCAGGGGGCCCCCTTCTGCTTGTTTAATGCCAGGGCTTTAGGTTCCTTTTCCCAAAAGTCCACAAGTTGTGAGGAGGTCCTTTGTAATCACAGCAAAGTGGTACATCATCCTCCATGAGCCAGATCCCAGCTCCTACCTCTGACATCTTAAGTCCAATTAACAGGTAGCTGTAGTGACCTGATGTTGCAACTGATGTCAAATACTTACAAATTGGAAGGCAAAGTGTAAAGAAGACATTAAGTACTTAAAAAAAACACCAAAGATGCTTCACAGTAGCCGCACTAACCCTTCCCAGTCTTCTGCATGTCCACAAGAGCCCTCCAGCCCTTCTTGCTGTCAAGACTTGCAACTCACCCTAATTTCTACTGGGCTCAGTTTGGGAAGGCAGCTCACATGCAACAGGAGGAAGCATCCCATTGCATTGGAAGAATCTTCTTGTCACTTATCTCAAAGCTTGCCCAACGACTCATGATCAGAAAGCATTTGGGGAGCATTCCGAGAGGATTACACATATTTTTGGTCCTTCATTTCAAACTAACTAGCAAAACAGCAGACCTGTTGAAACAAGGTACTCAGAAAAGAGACACGGCGCTGCAGACATTTCCCTGGTACTCTATTATTTCTAAAATAATAGAGTATATCCTATAATAATAGGATGCAAGAATGATTAAATACTACCAACAGAACAGGCACCAAGTTTTTTCCCTAATGACCAGCACATCACAACCCAAGGCTAGCAAACTCAGTACAAAGTCTCAGTGTGCACTTGCAATTATAACTTCCACTTCATTGTGCCTGCCCGACCTTTAAGAAAAAGCTACCATTCATTTCAGGGGTCTTTCTGACATGATTAAATCTTTCTCTTCACCATATATAACAGGAATGAAGGAGAGCTCAGGGAGCAGGGGGAGGTGAGACTGTGACCACACTCCAAGGCAGTCAGAGCACCACTTACAGAAGGAATTGTGTCCTGTCTATTAGCTTCCTTTTATTTCTTTGCTTTGTGCCCCTCATCCCTCCCAAACAAGACATTCTCTTTTTTGTTAGTCCAGTAGCCTCAGAGTTTGGCACTGTTAACTCCTTTGCAGCACAGGGAATTCACTTCTGGAGTGCAGCAATACTGAATTATCAGACCAGAATCTCCACATAAGCAATAAAAGAAAACAGGCAAATCAACAAAAGGAGGTAAGCAGATGATGTTATTGCTTTGGATTTCTCCTGAGAAGCAACTACCTCCCTTCTCTGACTTCATGGGGAATGGAGACATTTAGTACAAGTCCTCATTGACAGGCTTCTACGTTTTTATCTTAAAAGTACTTATCCAAGGCATCTAAAGAAGCATGTCATGATAGTTCATTCTATTTGCAAAGCCAACAGTGTTATTTCCTAGCCTGGTGGATAGCCCCACCAGCTACTTCCTTCCAACAGCTGCTCTGGAATCTCTCATTTCAGAAACTCATTCAAATGTTGCTATGTTTATAGCAGCTCCTTAATTTTCACAGTGGCTTAAGAAGGTTCTTCTCACATATGATTTGCAATATTGTCACACTGAGTTAGACTGGTTAGTAGAGAACCATTATGAAAAGATAGCAGAGGACAGAAAGTAAGGATTTAAGAAAATAAATAACTAACAGTGTGTTACCTGGTCAGCACAGCCTGTGGTGGGAGGTGTGAAATGGGAATTTGCTGCTGCTGCCTTTGCTTAGCCTCACAGCCTGGCATTGAGTATGTCTGGCCCACGAACCCCACTGCACTTTCATATCCTCTCAGCACAATCTGGTCTTTTTCATTTCTCACTCCATCTCTTCTATGAAATTTCAATTACCCCAAGGAGAAACTACTATTACTATTAGAAATTATGACACTTTAAGACAGATAACACCTTTGTCTGCTTACACCACTGCCAATACCAAGTGAATTATTAGGTACTGGAATTGTAAGAATGAATTTGAGGCCTTGGCAGCAGTTCTCTGTTCTGTGCCCTATGAAACTCCAGTCACAGAAAGGTTTCTCTATCTGCGTTGCCTGAGCAGATCACTGCAACCAAAGTCCATGTTGCATCCACTGTAACTGGCTGAATACACAGAGGTGTTACTTCACTGACAAGACAAACTCCCACAAGCTTTAGATAGAGGTAGTTTCCTGCATACTGTGTATTTGTTTTGTTTCACCATGACTAAAAGGAACACAAACCTCTTTTTTAACCGACACAGTCAATTTGCTTTTTGAGTCCATTTAAATGTATAATGGTCCTTCACACGGCAAAGTATAAAACGTATGAGAAATGCAGCATTATAAATGTAGAAATCCTGTACCTGGAAAGTGGGAGATAGACTTTACCATCAATAACAACTGAATCATCTGCTTTTCTTCCTAAAGCAGTACATACGTCCTTTCTATTTTAAGTACTTTAACTAAATGTTAAGTATATGCTTTGCTTTGTGATAAAGAGTGGTTTTCCTGATAGTCACCAAGCATAGAAGATTCTTTATTCAAGTTCCCCTGCCCCTTAACCCTTTATCTTACATCTTGGGCTGTAGGAGTTACACTCCTCTTTTAACAGGACAGAAGTGTAAGAACTAAATAAAGTGAGAGTGATAGATAAGAGATGGCAGACTGGAAAAGCAGGTCAGTAGATGTCCCCTCTTAGAAGATCTAGCCTGCTCCGTCTTCATCCCTCCCCTTACAAGCCAGCCTGGCTGCCCCTGTCCCGTGGCAGCTCATTAGTCACAATGCAGCAGTGCCACTGTGGCATGGCAGCATCTCTCACTTTGATTCCATTCTCAGTCTACATCTCAACTTTTCTCCTTCCAACAGTATTTGGATCACAGGCCAGTTGAAGTCAGGACTTGCAATAGTCCTTGGGTGTCAGCCCAGGAGAATTAAAAGTATTATCGTTAGTAGCCTGCAGCGCTTCTGTTCACTAAGGCAAAATGTGACATCAGTTGTCTGACATCAAGCAGTTGTATCAGAGCAGTATGAGCCTGCTATGTAACACCACAATAAATGCTCCGGAGTCAAATCCACTTCAATTTGTACAACTTTTTTTATTTCTCCAGTCTCAAATATTTATTCCCTGTGAGCCGCTTCTTGCGTTGCCGAGGAACATCGGGCATTACGGCCATGTTTCGCCTGACACTGGCACTAAACAAGTAATGGGTCTATAGTTTCTGATTATGGACAAAATGAGTTTCTCAGGATTAGGACCTTTGCATACATCTTTTATGTTGTCCTAACTACATTATCACAGTTTTGTTTACCTTAAATACACTCTGAATCTAAAATATATTTATCATGACCTCAAGTTCCCACACTAGACATTCATTCATAAATGTATCCTTCTAATTCAGACTGATGCTCGTCACAACACAGTCAAGTTATGGATCTTAAGCCAGACTTGAGATTCATTTCTCACAAATTAAAATGCTTACATGCCTTTAACCTACTGATTTCTTTTCACTGACAATAAAAGAAGTAAAAGCTAACACCGTAGATATCTAAAGGTACATGAGATGAATCCTGTTCTTTATGTCACTGTTTAGCTTTGGATTCTCTTCTGTGAGCCAGGTCCAGGAGATGAACATGAGACAGAGTTCAGAAACTCCTGAATCACAGAGCTGGTCAGTGTTGATGGTTCACTGGCAACTTAGGGCAGCATGCTACGACTTGCTGGCTGTGAGTAGCTTTATGAAAAATCACAGATCTTGTGCTGTAAAACCTAAAAATCCCATAAAGTCTATTAAAGAATTTTGGTCATTAACAAAAACTTTCTACAAAGAAGAAAATTCTGTGGAGAGAGAATGAATTACAAAACTCAATTCTGCCTAATATTTTATGCACTGTACCTTACTTACATGCTCTTTCTCATAAGTGGCATGCTACTATGATCAATATTAAAAAATGCATAAGGAGGACACTGAGTGGGAAAAGAGTTGCTCAAATATTTACAACAGAAGCCCAAAAATATCTGAATTTCCAATTCTAAGACGTGTGCTATAACCATGGTGCCAAGCAAGGTGATAGAAAGAAGGGGTTGAAAGCCTTAAGACTCTGCTAATGGTTTACAATTAATTCTTGGGTGTACTGCGAATGCAGTTCAGCCCAAACGCAGTGCCAAATATTAACAGAAAGATTGGTTTCAATATAGGGAGTATTTTCTTTTCTAAGTGATCCTACCTTCATCTTTTTCTTTAAAGTCACTAACCTACCTCATTCTGATGGTGGTAGCAGCATAATAAGGATAACAACAATTAATGGAACCACCTAAATATTTTGAGAAATATATAGTTCAGATATCTTACATTAGTAAATTCCTTTCCATGTGGTCTACAACACACAAAGTTTTGCCTGCCTACCAGCACTTGGGCCTCATATCTCCAATTATATGTCTTTAAATCACCATTCAGAGTAAGCACAAATAAGATGCAGAAAATCTTCCATCAATCTCCTACAGTTTTACCTTATCAGAGGTGAACTCAGAGATACGCTGTTGTTAGAACTATCTCATTAGCTGCCTTTATTCATAAACAGCCATCAAGGAAATCCTACCATAGACAGAAAAAGAGCAAGACTAGATAGAACTGGGATTCATCATCTGTCCTACGCAAGAAAAATCTCCGTAACTTAAGTTCACACTTGATACTGTTTCCAGAAATTTGTTTGAGACTTCTTACATGCATCTGCATTTTCTGCCTCGGGACACAAACCATACTTAGCCAAAGAAACTCTGGAACCTGAAGACAAGGTCTTCAGAAGGCTTAGGGAGTGAAGTGGCAAAGTAAGTTAATGAAATGAAGGTAGAAAAACTGGGAGGAAACAATCAGGGAAGAAAGTCTTCTGCGTGTAGGGAGTGGACTTTATCACTGGGAAGACCAACAAGGGCAGGGAAAAGTCTCACGAGAACACTGGATTTTGTTCTCTTTCTCAAAGCGCACCTTCAGCTTTGTGTAAATGAGGTCAGAAAATTCAACTTACCTCGCTCACATGTTCTACCCCAATAGCCAGTGCCAGTGCAGTCACAGATGAAGCGGTTCCAGCCATCCTTGCACACTGCATTATTCTTACACGGGTAGCTGTCGCACTGCTTGGTGCTGAGGCGGGAGCAGGAGGACTTGACTCCTGCAGCATTCTGCGCCTCTGCCAGCTGCCGGATGTTCTTGCTTCTTCCATCAATGAACAAGTCTCGGATACAGCCGACATAGCCATAGTTCAGCATTGCTGTCCAGAGCTCTGTGGGAAGGATGAGTCCTGCCCGGTTCTCAGGCAGCCCACCAAGGTACATGTCGCCTTCCAGATCTAGGATCTCGCTCTCCCCGCTAGCGGTGAATGGGGTGCGTCTGCTGTTCACTGATATAGTACCTAAATGAGGAGGATAAGAAGGCATTAATACTTTCAATTACAGTCTCAGTTTAGCTCACTTTTTTCCAGTAACTGAGTGAGGTTTAAGGTTCAGCATAGGAGAGTGAAGATTCCTCCCTATCCAAATGCAATTCCAACAGATATGTTAGCTGTGTGTCTCTCACACAGCTCTGTCTCCTCTTGAACTACAGGTCCTAAGTACTTCCCTGCAGTGACTGAAGATCATGTGTCTGTATCCCAAATTGCATTATAAAGTCAGAATCATAACTGTGCAATGGCTAAATAATATGTAAAAACTGAGCATTATTCAATAGTATTCATCCAGTAAAGCAAAGACTTACTGAGAACATACAGGATTTTGATATAGGACTGGAGAGAAAAAAGATAAGCAAAAGAATAGTAATTCACACTACATAGAGTACCTCCAAACCTGGACCTGAATGATGGAACTAAATAGACATCATCAGGTTTGTAGGCGACATCAACTTGAGGACAATAGTTGATGTATTGGAGGAAGCACTAGGCTACCATTCAGAGAAACCTTTACAAGGTGGATCAAAGGACTGATAGCAATATTTGATGTAAATCAAAAACAAAAAATACAAAGTCCTACACCGGGGTCAGAATAGCCTCACACTCAAGTACAGTTTGCAGACCAACTGGCTAAGGAGCAACTCTGCAGGAAAGGACTTGGAGATGTGGCAGGCAACGATCTGAACAGGAGTCAGCATTGTGCACTTGTGTGACAAGAGACACTGATCACAAGTTGCAGTAAGGTGTCCAGCCAGGACAGGGTTAATTCTTGCAGTAGCCGGGAAGGGGGATCTCACATCATTGCCGGGGTGGGGGAGAGGGGCTCTCTTGCCAGGAGAAGGGGTTCCTTCCAGTCAAGCGTGTTCCTTCCAGTCAAGCGGATGGAGCAGCGGGGCAACAATGGTTCCAAGCCAGAGGGAATGGTGGCATGGTGCTAGTGCCCAGCCAGAGGGAATGGTCAGGGTGGCGTGGTTGCGCTTGGGTCAAGTTCCATGGTGAGCACTTTTGCATGAGAATCACTCTTTTGTACACTTTTGTTACCAATATTGTTGCTGCTACTGTTCATTTTATCCCATTGCTGTTTCCAGTAAATTTTTCTTATCCCAACCCATGACGCTCACCTTTTGTGCCTCCAATTCTCCTCTCCAGTCTGCCACGGGGGGGGAGGGGGAGGGGAAGCGAGCAAGCGGCAGTGTGGTTTGGAGAGCGTGGGTGGGGGCACTAAATTGGGAAGTACTATTCCTAAACCACCACACAAGGGAATCTCCAACTCCATAGAAAAGGACATTTTTCACCACAAGAAGAGTCAAACATGAGAACAGAAACCTCAGAGAAGCTGTGGAATCACCATCCTGACACAACCCTGAAGAAAGTCTAAACTAAACTAGAAATCTCCAGAAGTTTGTTCCAAAGTAAAATATTCTATGATTTTACAAAGAAAGTTTTCTAATTTCCATTTTATAAAGAGGAAAATTGAGGTAGAGAGAGACAAAGGTTATCTCTGAAGAACAGTTATTATTAAAACTTTAGTAGCTTCCATACGCTCCAAGCAATATGTGGGCATACTGCACTGAGACCATTCCTATATATTTCAAGAAATTGTCCCAGCACATAAAATAATCAGAACATATAATACATAAATAAATAAGAATATATGAAACAGATACAGAAAAGCAAATTTATTTGTTAAAGGTCAGACAATGCATCCAAAGAAAAACGGAAAACATAATGCACATCTCTCACATCCCAGAGCAGTGTATTCTTCTGAAGAGTATTTAGCAGCTTTCGTGATAGGGGCATCTGCCCATCAGACACTCATCTAAAAATCAGCAATTCACTCTCCCTAGCTATAAATCATCACATCCAATTGCCTTGTCGTTAAGATAGTCTGTCTTCAGAGACACTTATCCAAGCTTTAAGATTAATTTCACATAATTGCATTTTTATCTACACCCCTAAAATAAGGTGGGAGAGTTAATAGAATTAGCCCTGTTTTGTGTCTCTGTGAGAAAGTATAGACATGTATACGCACTTTTTTCTCAGTTGTAATAGGTGTCCTCTTAAGAGAATGGCACGTACGACACAAACACGAGGGATTTCATGTGTGTGATGTTCAGGAATAATTGAGGAATAATGTCAGAGGCAGCAGAGTGTCAGAAGCAACACAGGCATTACAAATTAAAGGCTCAAAGAGAACAATAGTTATTTGATGAATCATTTTGTAAAAACAAGCTGCAGCACCACAGGCATTTTCTCTTTTACAAAGTAAGAAAAGAGAACACATGACAATACACATACAGTCGCACAGGCAATGTGTCACAGAGCCACGGAACTGCAGTCCCCCTTCCAGCATCTCTGCTGCTACTTCTCAAAAGCAGCCTGCAGAAATACTGGAACACTGAGCTCTACACAGCTGCTACTACAGAGAGAAAAAATATCACCTGCAAAAGCCACAAAGGTAAAGAAACCCCCTAAAGGACAAGAAATGTGGGATACTAAGAAGTATAAAACCTGGAGAAAGATGGTGAGATGATGAATGGAAACAGGCTAGAGAGAAATCGAAACATTCTGCCAGTGTTTTCCACTCTGCAACAATTCTTGTAAGGAGATGGTACTAGTTTGGCTGAACAGCATTTTTAAGACCAACCAGCTAAGAAGGAGAAATTCTGAATTGACCCTAGGAAGAAGCACTTCCATGAGTTGACATCCTTCCCCTCCCTCCCCCCCAAATCCCATATTTGCAACTCTGTTTAGAGTAGATCCAAGTTGATCCAAATCCATCTTGAGAAATCAGAAGCATCCAAGCATTTCCTTTCCAGCGCCTTAGGCACTTTATGCAAGATTAAAGAACTAACAGACCAAAATACCACAGTTACTGAGGGCAGAGCTGGCATACAAAGCAGTGCATTGATGCAACTGTACATTAAACCTTCCAGTAAGATTTTTAGTGTCTGAGTGGGTGGGACATCATGTATGTTGTGTAGCTGATGACCAGCTAAAAATATTGTCTTGTGTAACAAGCTCACGGTTCCCCAGCTAGAAACTGTGACAGGTTTTGTGAACACTTTGTGGGAGCTTTCCCCAAAGACAGAAGGGTTACAGGACACTAGGTGCCCAAGTCCTTGCTACCAGCTTTTGTCAGAGTAGAGAGACAAAAACAGCTTTTCTTGCTCTGGCAGCCAACACAGACCAAAGCATACACAAGGTCTAAGGGGACTAGAGGTGCCAGAGGTTATCTGAGCATGACTGCCAAGCTCCCACAACGCTAGTGCTCCTGCCTTAGTGCATCACAACAGGGAATATGTGGATTTTTAGGCTATTTTACTAAGCTCAGCAGAACCTGAAGTTTTGGATTATCAGAGAAATGGGAAAAAGAACGGGAGAGATGACGCCTAACAAAGGCTTGTCTGTTTTAGTAAAGAAAATCAGAACCTCTAGGTCACTAGCTCATTAAACCCAAATGGCTGTTGTTAGCCTCAATTAAGTAAATTCATTAATTCAGTTTCTAGACGACAGGCATCCACATTGTGGGGAAAAGAAAAATCAAGGTATAACCATTCTCCACTCCACATGTGGGAGAAAAGCCAAGGAATAAACAAGAAGAGATCCAGAACTCCTTTTTCATGTCAATCACAAGTGTCACTGAATAAGAGTGACTGATGCTTGCTAAAGGGTATGATGTAAAGAAATTAATGCCAGTACCCTGGTTTTCTCAAGACACAAGACATCAGTCACTAGGATCATTAACCAAGTATTCATTGTCAGCAGAAAATATACTTTAGAAAAACAAAAAAAAAGGGACCAGAACATACAAACATGTTCCTTCCTATTGAGAAAAGTGTTTCTAATTCAAAATTTGTTACCTCTAATCAATGTCCAGAACATCACAAATCTCCCTGTCAAGTGACAAACAAGTCAGTTCTACGGTTTCGTTCATCAATTAGCAGTGCTGTCTGTCACACCCTCCTAGTTTAAATGCACGTGTCCCTGTTCCTAGGGTTTTACAAACATTCTTTGTGGAGAGCCTAGTGTCATTTCTTTTCTTCTCCCTCTGCAGTTGTCTCTTCAGGGATGAGACAGTCACCAAGTGAGCAAGCAAAACTGAAGTCAGTACTGAATGCAACTAATTGAGTTTATCCTTGGAGGCTAATTAAATTTTAGCAATTCTAAAGAAATCAAAGCTCCACTTATTTATTTATGGCTTCCTTTGTAAAATGTCCCTATCGATGTCTTTAGGAGATAGCAATATATAACCACACATATTAAGTCCCAGTAGAGCACCATGCCAAATACAAAGAAACTACTCACATCATCAAAGAAAAAAATAGCTTCAGGCAAAGACCTGTTCAAACAGCTAGGCCTTGCGTGGTATCTAAAAGTCAGCTCTTTTAAAAACTCAGGGGAAGAAAATTCTAGCAATGTTCTCTGTACTGATGGTATTCAGCAACTGGAAAAATCAAGTTTGGGATCTAAAACTATCATCTGGAGATCACCAGACAACCCAAATCCACTTGCAAATGTAAGCAAAATTTCCTTTGAAGGGAAGGCTTTGAGATCCCAATGGTTCAGAAAAAAAATCGACTACAATTGTTCACATATTCTCAAGATGAAGTTGCAGTATTTGATCATTTTTGTTCTCCACAATTTCAGAGCATATCATGAGTATGTTAGCTTGATATTCAGCACTAGAAACAAACAAAATACCTCTTGGTAATTGCAAGGTAGGTGTATTTTTAGAAATAAACAAAAACACATAATTGAAAATGAGAAGCTGCAAGGCAAGAAAAAGGAACATCCACTGAATGTTGACTCATTAGAATTTGGCATCCAAAAGATGTAAAGAAGCCTAACTGAAAACTACAAAATACTAAAAGAAACAGAAGAGATGAAGAACTCCAGAACAGAATAGGGTGAAAATGTTGATTTGTTGGCATAATTTTGTGTCTGGTTGTGTCCATTATTTTTATTTTCCTCATGACCAGACACCAGCTGCAGAAACCCAAATGAGACCAGTGAAATTTGTCAAAGTGAGAACAGTGGTTCTGAGGACCTTAAACCTTACCATGGCCTATAAAGAATTTGTCACTATAACTATGCATGCAGTTGAAAAGATAGATCCAGAATATCCAAGGATTGTGAATAAAATATTAATAGACCGCCTCTGGATGTGCTATCCAAAGTTCACACTAAATCTACTCATCACATCTTTGCTTTGCTGGATGAACATCACTGGAGTAGCACCAAGTTTTTTTAGGAAGGTGACTCATATCTAACAGGTTTTGAAGGTTCTGAGAATTAATATACAGCCCTAGGTCTGAACCTGAAACATGAATCTGCTTAAGAAACAGTCATCACTCTACCTGATCTTCCATCTCGTTGAATGTCCACATGATACCATTCTCCATCATTGGCTTTCTTCTGGGTGGCCTTGACTTTGATGGTCCCAGAACCCATGTCCAGCAGCAAGTAGAGGTTTCCATCTAGAAGCTCAACTGCAAAGAAGTCTACCTTTGTATTTTTCTGGCTTCTGGCATCTTTCCTCTCCTGAGGTTTGCCATGGGTGAAAAGGATCAGTCCATTAGGTTCAGTGGTTCGGAAGTCAAATGAGATAGAGCCCATCCTTTTGGTATTCCACTTAGGCAGACTAATATAGGCCTCAGGTGTCTCAAAGCTGATGGGATCCAGCGTAGCCACATTTTCACATATGAATTTCACTTCCCCATAGATCTTCATCTTAGTATCACCAATCCGTGCCAAGCGAGACAGCTCCAGACGAATGTCATTATTCTTATAAACAACCTGCCAGACACAAGGAAAAGCATCATACATCAATCCTGCATACAATACAAATACCCCAGTTACTTTCAGCCATGGGAGATAAACTTCTTCCAAAAGGCAGGGGGGAGCAGAAAGGAGACAGTGCAAGAGTGTGACATCAAGACAGAGTGAGAGAGTTGAACCAGGAGTGTGTATAGAAATGACAGCAACGGGTACTTTGCAATAACTATAGGTCACATAAGCAGTCAGAAGAGAATATTTAACTGAAAGGCACTAAGAACAATTAACTCTACCACAGGCCCACTCCGCTGTAAAAGCTTTTGTACAAAAAATCCAGTGTATGTCTGGTATCATGCTGTTATATTTGCATAAATCCCATACAAAATACATAACAAAGTGTAACCTCCATGTCCATCTCTACTAGCCACAGCAGGGAACTCAGTACCACCACTATCATTTCGCTATTATTCCTACAAGCCCACTTAACTACTAGGAGAGAGATGCAAAAAAATTTCAGCAAGTTGCTGTGAACTGTTAGTGATTGCCCTGTAGCTCCTAAAGAAAAAAATAAACAAAAGACTTAGAATTTCTCTTATCAAGGAATCTTATATCACTACATGCACAAACAGGTACAGAATTAATTCCTGGAAAGCAGACTCCTCTCTGCCCCATGCCATTCTCACACAGGCAGGAACTGAAGAAAGCACAAAACTGAAATATTTGTAAACTGTACTTCCTCTCAACCCCCTCCATGCTTCCTAAACCCAGAACTGGCATACACAGTAAGCAAAAGCACTTCTTCAACTAACACAATTTTTATTGTATTTATGTTCTGTGATACTACTGAAGACTCTTATTTCTTCTAAGGAGTTATTATTTTAAAATACTTTGTGTTTAATAGGTATAGTATATACACATTTGATTTCTGCTTTCAAAATGCCATCAGGATGAGTTGTCATCAATTTGTTATGAAAAAGAAGGGAAAGTAGATATGCATTGTTAATTCTACAATTAGGACAGGGAAGTCAGAGAAATGCACATGCAGTAAATATTAGAAGGTGAGAGAAGAGAATGAGGGATAAGCTTCTAAATTAGGTGACTTCAGGATGAAAAAAGTCAATGAAATCAAAATTCATCACATTCATAGTAAGCAAAGAATTTCCAGCTTTTGCTAAGCATTAAAGGAGAATTTCCCCAGTGCAGTCAGCACAGCATCAGATTTTCCTTTGCAAAGGCAAAACACAGAGCGAAAGGAGAAGCCAGCTATTAAATCCCATTTGGAGACATGGCACAAAGCTGTAGTTCCTCCCAGCAGAGGACAGTATTGACCCACAGTAGCTTGTTTTACTCCAATTCCCAATAAAGTGCTCTGCCCTCACGCAGGCTTCAAAAACATCAAGTCTATTAATAGCTGCAATAGGACTAAAATACACTTTCAAATTTGGGACTGTACTGGTTTCATTGTATGGATATGGATTAACCATGTCAAATGCTCTCATTAGACAGACCATACACGTGCTTTCATTGACACAACAAGGGTGTGCATTACAGCCTCCCCTCTTGCCAGACAATAATGTGCACCTCAGTCAGACTTTAGTTCTGAGCACTGCATGAAGTCCCGTCTCTGCTTCTCAAAGAAAAAGAGGAAAATAAATAGAAAAACTAAGAGGATGGAGCAGGATACTTTATGAGGATAGCCTGAAAATGCCAGAACTCATACTTGGAGAGCACTGGGGAAAATAGGATTGAAGTTTATAGAAGATGGAGAAGGTTAATGTAGAACTGCTCTGTGCCAAACCCAGCAGTAATAGAACTAGAGGCCCTCGCTGAAACTTGTATGAAGTCAGTTTAAAATGGATTTTTAGAAGTACTTATTTACACAGAAGGTAGTGCACTTCTGGAGCTTGCTGCCACAGGAGGTCATGGAAGTAGGGTCAAAAAGAACCAGAACGAAAAATGAACACCAAGTACACAAACTGATACTAAAGTAGTAAACCAGAAAGTCACTAACAATGAAGAATCTGAGAGTAAGTTTGAAAGGACAGACCAAGAAAGCAAGCACAAAGGAAGACCTGAGGAAGAGAAGATAAAGGGTGTTGAATAGATACAAGATTTCTGAATTCAATCTTTTCAAAGAAACAGATCCACCCCAATCAGAATCTCCATTATGCAAGTGTTTGTTGTTCTAAATTTTTTTCTTAAGAAAAAAATCCTAGCTTGAGAAATCTAAAAAGCACCTGTGTTTAAGGAAAAAAGTGTAACTATTTCCATAGCTGACTTGAGGTATTATTGAAAGACACATTTGGACATTAATATCTTGCCATATAATCAGGTACGCCAGAACTTTCAGCACAATAAAAGAAAAGGATAAAAATAATCCTTGGGTGTAAAACTAAAGCAAATCCTTGGCAAGAACAGAGAAATGCTAAGGCAGCTCCTGATAACCACAGTTCAATTGTTAAACCAAAGGTTCAAGAATGAAAAAAAAGGAATATAATTAAATGACTGGAATGCATGTCCCATAGTGAAGAACATTCAAATTCAGTTTGTTTAATAGGTAGAGGTTAAAAGGTGATCCGATTACAATCTGTGAGTACCTGTGCAGAAAATGGAATGTGGCAATAGAGGGTTCTTCAGTTCATGTGACAAAGGGACAGTGGAATCTGGGGGCTAAAAACTGAAGTTAAAGAAATTCACATTTTAAAATATTATGACTTATTTTTACATGAGGTAATTTGCTTCTGAAATAATTTACTACAGGTTATGGTGTGTTCTCTGCTACTGGCAAATTTTAAATTAAAATAGTATCTTGTTTTCTCTAAAAGATACAGTGAGACAGGAATTAATTATATACCAAATCAGCCTAGATTATCATAATGGCTCTTTCTGGCCTCATAACCTATGAATCTTTGTGTTTTAATGAAATCAACAGATGCTTCAGTGCAGTTTCCAGGACAGATGAAACACATCCTTCCCAGCTGTTAAAACTGCCTGGTAAAGGAGTAGATGCTGCTGCCAATTCTGGTCTCACTTGTCACCAGTGCTTTCAGTGAAGTTGTTTTATATTTTCATGTGTTTGTGATCCTACCTTGCAACATACCATTAAAAATGAAGGCAAGTAAAAAGTCTTGGACAAAAAAACTTGATTCTATAGTTCAAATATATAAGCTTCAAGAACTAGTTTCTTAAGAGTTACTGCTGCAAGCCAGAGAAGAAAAATTTTCAAGTTTCACCAAGGAAGCTTTCTGCCACCAGAGGAATCTGCATAGCACTTCCTACCTTGTAGTGTCATGAGCAACCTCTGAACTATGTAGTATGGCAGAATACTGATTGAAACCCACACCTCTAACTCCAAATGAGGCCATGACTGACCCAGAGTGCTGTCCCTCACTTGAACATAGTGTCACTCTGGGACACGGTTTCTATAGCAATTGAGAAGAAAGCAAGCAATAAAACAGTGCCCCTTTTTATCAGATGCTTCCTAAACAAACACAACCTCACCTGTTCAAACAGAGACAAGCTTGAATTCATCCCGTGTCCGATATTTGTATCAGAAAAGGTCTGAGGGAGTCAAGGACATGATTCTCGATACAGACATACACATCTACCTTACAGTTATTTTGGGAAGGAAGGTGGAAAACAGAAAGGGGAAAAGAAATTACTAGCAAAAGCTATGCACAGAGCATTTGAAAAGTAACCGCCATTCCTCCAATCTTTAAATTGCTTTTATTCCAAAAATTAAACAAGAATAATAAAAAATTTGGGTTTTCCTTTTCCATGAGGACTGCTTCTAAACAATCTTTCAAAAAGGAATATTAACTGTTCAATGCCTTTGCTTAATGAATTTGACCAGTATAAATGGATGGTCAGGGATGGGACAGTCCAAATACACATGGACTTGATAATCAGCAGGAGAATTTCATGACATCTGAGACATCTTGAGGGGAAAAAAAAATATACATTAAATTGTGTTTCCTATAATCTGCTGAGAAAGATGAGTTTGTTTTAGGCAGAGCTAAAACAAATAGACAATCTAATTTTGAGGTTTCTTAAAAATGGCAACTTTGCAATTCTGAAGCATTCAAGGAATTTCTACAGCTAAACTTATAAGAAGTTTCACTCATGGGTTAATGAGAGCTCTAATCAGATGGTTTTTCACAATGATGAAAAGCATCTCTTTGCAATCAAGTGAAGTTGCAGATAGAGAGGCAGCAACAAAAAGTGAGGAAAAATGATGTGCTAAACTTGGTCAGTGGCCAATATAAAAATTCCTCTCAAAGTTGGTTCTATTAAGGAGGAAATATGATTTCCAGTGCAGGCTGGATGCAGGGATGCTCCAAAGGGAAATGGCTGCTGATCGCCTGGCAAATTAGATGACCACCATGGAAAAGAGCAATAACTTGAAGGCTGCATATGTTTAGCTAGCTATGAAGAGCCCTTCCAAAGCTCACCCAAATTTTTCACCTATTTTATTCTATGTATCACTAATTGCTTTTTTCTGTCACAGGCTGCCCCCTTCACTAACTGTCCATATCAATTCTCAGAAGGGATAACTGCAAGACATTCAGACTAGAGCCTTTCTGAGACTTCCTTAAAGGCACCTGCACTGAACCAGACAAGTTTCTGCAGCTTAAAAAAATTACAGTTTACTCACTGGTTTATCAGAACTGTGTTTTCCTAGCCTGCTCTGATGAGCAAGTAGAAACTAATACACCAGTTAAAAGCACTTTACATTCTGTTTGGGGTAGACTATCTATGAAGCAATCCAAGGCTTCAGTGATGGGCAACTAAAGCTGCTACACTTGTTCACTGGGATAACAATTGTAATCAGATAATAAACAAACACAATCACCATTCACTACACTGAAAGAGTTAATTTACCTGTAATGAAAAACAATATATTGAACATTGATGAAAAGTAACTGAAACCACACAAATAAGACTCAAATATGATTTGTGCTATGCTGAGTAAAGTAATGCAATCCTCCATTTCATCTGAATTATGTTTAACAAAGAATACG